CATTTCCGTATTCTAATCAATATTCATATAGTTTTATCATTTCCATATTCTAATCAATAATTATATAGTTGTATAATTTCCATATTCTAATCCATATTCATAATGGCTGTATCATTTCCATATTCTAATCCATATTCATATAGTTCTCTATCATTACCATATTCTAATCCATATTCATTATAGTTCTATAATTATTTCCATATTCTAATTCATGTTTTAGCTCTATTATTTGCCCTGGGATTAGTTGGGTTGGAAAAGGATATGTTGCCCTGGAATTAGTTGGGATGAAAAAGATTGTGTTATCCTGGAATTAGTTGGGATGAAAAAGATTGTGTTATCCTGGAATTAGTTGGGATGGAAAAGAATGGGTTACTCTGGAATTGGTTGGAATGGAAAAGGATGGGTTACTCTAGAATTAGTTGGGATGGAGAAGATTGTGTTACCCTGGAATTAGTTGGGTTGTAAAAGGATGGGTTACCCTGGAATTAGTTGGGATGGAAAAGGATGGGTTGCCCTGGAATTAGTTGGGATGGAAAAGAATGTGTTATCCCGGAATTAGTTAGGATGGAGAAGATTGTGTTACCTTGGAATTAGTTGGAAGGAGAAGAAATTGTGTTATCCTGGAATTAGTTGGAATGGAGAAGATTGTGTTATCCTGGAATTAGTTGGGATGGAAAAGGATGGGTTATTCTGAAATTAGTTGGGATGGAAAAGAATGTGTTGCCCTGGAATTAGTTGGGATGGAGAAGATTGTGTTACCCTGGAATTAGTTGGGATAGTCCTATAACACTTAAGATTCTACAATTGCCACTAAACTCAATAGAATTCCTGGTTTTATGGAACTAATGTCAAAATTATTGCATATTAATTTCCTTTGCATATTCATGCGAAGCAAAATTCACGGTTTTATTCTTCTAGCACAGTTTACTTTGCTACATTGCAGGTCTTCACGTTTTTTTTTCGCCTTTTAAAGGACTGTGCCTTATTTAAAGTTACCCTCAATGCAAAAAATGACAGTGACTAGGGTACAGTTTTTGCGTAACAACAATAATAAAGATTGTAAACAATAACACAAATAATAAACAGACATCTAAGGGGGGGGGGGCAGGATAACCTTGAATTTGATTAAAAATGTCTCTGCAATAAGGTCCTTTTCGTATAAAACTAAAATCCTCAACTTTTTCAATCTTTTTTTTAACAAGATTTAATACTACTTTCACAGTTTACTAACTCATGTTTATTATTGTTGTTACTCAAAATCTAGTTCTTCAGCAGTCCAAAAACGTAACAACAAAGTGTACGGAAACCCTATCGCCCCGTCCTTCTAATCAATATCTCCTTGGTGCGGGTGTATATGCCTCATTAAATGTTACGTGTTGGCTGGTTTAAAAAGAATGCCCGTTATAACATATATACACACTGTGCGTGCACACGCACGACATACATACACCCTTACATTTTTCACCGCTGTGCTTTATATAAAGAAAGATAAATATGATATATAAATATATATGCTCTGTACTGCTGAAGTATATTCAATGAATTGATATGCAATATGCATTAGTTATCATCAATACAATCTGACCATCTTTATACATACAGATAAAACCCTAATTGAGCTCTTGGATTCATAAAACCATTTTATAATATCCCATACATAACATTATCATTATTGAGCCGCGCAAAAAAAGCTTAAATTTGCTTATGATCTTCTAATCTAATTCTATCTATACATAATTCGATTGTCTGTTTTTTCTTATCTAATAAACGTTAAAACGTATAAACCGGATGTTTATGACAACTTACGTGACCCAAAGGAAGGTTTTGCTCGAACAAAATGTCGACATTTTGTGTTTTTAAAATTGCGCAAACTTAAGTACAAAAATCCGCAAAAGTTTGAGAATGTTTCAGAGCAACAGCTATAATCGTTATTCGGAAAGGGAGTGCAGAGTGAAGGGAGCGCAAAGTGAAGGGAGTGCAGAGTGAAGGGAGGGCAGAGTGAAGGGAGTGCAAAGTGTGCAGGAAATTCAGAAAAATAATGTCTGTGACATCAGGTTGCAAAGATGTAAGAATTAGAGTTTAAAGTTTGAAGTAAGTATTCAGTTATGAGTTGCATGTAAAATTACTGATTTGTGCAAAATGCATGAATATTGAATAATACATGTGTAAAAACCTTAGATCTTCACACGATATCATCTGAATTTTTTTAAGCTTTTAAGCACAGTACATTTAAATGCGAAAAAAGGAAAAATTTACTTTTCTTGTTTTTATGAAATAAGAAAATTAGACATTTCAATACTGGTGTAGACGTAGACTTAATTTCAATCTATCATTCGTTTGTAAAGCGTCGTATCAGTACAATTCACAAGCACTTTGAACCCTTGACTGATCAAGGATCAAATGACGGACTTATTCTAATTCTATTCTAAGAAGTTTATTTACAACTTTATAGCAAACTGTTTTACATTTTAAAATATTATTATCTTATTTTCGGAAGTCACAAGAACTACGTTAAGGAAAAATTATTTTGAATTCTAGGAATTACCAGCTGAACAGCCCGTGGTAAAAAATTTGAAGAAAATAATTTTCGAATTTTTTAGCCTATAACACCCGGCCACGAGTGTTCACAAAAAAATTCAGCCCCATCGGTCCAGCCGTTTGGCCGGCTATAAGTAACATATATATGAATGTCTTGACAGTTGGCGCTTAATTTTAAGCGAGATAAGGTAAGGATTTCTCAATAGTCAATGGTCCTTTAAAGAAGTAAAAATAAAAGTGAAGATTTACAAGCTCATTTTTTTAATAGATATTTTTTAAGATATATGAATGTCATTTATATATATATATTAAAAGGATAAGTGGAATTACAATATTTAGGATAATTTTTGTTTGAAAATTTAAAATACTAGGCTTTTACATCTTCTATTTAAATTGTGAACATGTTCTTTTCGTTTACATTTAAAAAAAAAAAAAAATTTCGCGGATTTTTAAAAAAGAATTCGCGGATTTTCAAGAATTTAAATTTTTTACAAAATTAAAAACCTTTAAAACACATTTTTTTTAAATTGTTATCATTGGTAAACCTTCCCTGTGGTCACGTGATGTCTCACAAAAAATGTGGGCCCGAACCGGTTCAGCCGTTTTGACGTTTATTGGATACAAACAAACAGACAAACAGACAAACAGACAGAAAAGCCAAAGAACCTGTCAAATCATTCGTTGGGATGTTTAGAAAGATGAAAATTTCCCTGTATGATAATTGAAGGACTGCAGAATGGGTTTGGTGAATTATATTGACGTACTAAGCCTAGGGGTGTCAGAAATGATTTTTTTTGCAGTTTTTTGAAAACGTCCAATAAACCTAAAAAAGTTTAATTTTCATAAAACTTTTTGTTCTGGATGATTCCAAATATCTATCTAAAACTTTCTTAAACCGGCATATTTTTTCTATATTCATTTAGTTAAGAGTTTGAGTTAAAATAAGTATTAATAAATATTGCTTTATATCGAGTAGATATCCTTATACATATCGATG